TTTACCTTTTCTAAAATCTGCAATAGAAGAACTTTAACTTATAATAATAACTAATATCTTATTCTTTGTTTTAGCACTTGTGGAAGCTCATGGTGGAAGAATCAGATTTATTAGGTCAATTAAGGGTGAGTTTTTGTTTTTTAAAAGTGTTACAGGAATGGGAATGGCTTCCTCTGAATCTGTTAAAAGGAATCTTGATATGTATTAACAAAAAAGGGGCTATAGCATATAACATGTTATTTTAATGGTATTACATTGGCTTCTTCTAGTTCTATCCTTAGCCTGATTTAATCTGATTTTCTGCAGCTACCAAAAACAGCTGAAAGGCAGCCATGCCAAAACTGTCAAACACAAAAACACCATTTGTTGTGTGCAACCTGTACTGGATGAGAAATAGCTCTGGGTGGGGACAGAAATAGGATGGCTTTCATACGCTACTAATTGTCTGGCAGCAGGATGACCATCCACATCAAACTGTTCTGGGTATTCGGAGAACATCTGCAGATCTGAAGACTCATATTGTCACCTGGCCCAGCTGTATGTAGCCCCAGCTGTTCATATCGGGGTTTCTGGGACACAGTACAATATCCATAATATTGTGAGACCACATTTGGCGTTCCAACCACCAGGTTGCACAGCTCTGCTCTAAACCAAAAAATAACCGCTATAATCTGAGCGGAAACTATTGGCTTCCCATTCTTTTGCACTCTCAGTATTATCCTGCTGGATTTTTTGACATGTTAGAGCACAGAAAGGATAATGCTGTTTTTTTTATCGGAGGAAGGCTGTTCTAAATTATCTAGCTTCTAATTATTTCTGTATTGCACAGTTTATTATTTTGTCAGTACTTAAGGTGGCCTCAAAATGTGTTCTTGAATGCTATTTATGAATGTTCAATGGTGGCAGCAACATTGGCGATAAACTGTTTAAAATTAACTCCATTACAAAAACTAGAGGCCACCACCTAAAATTGGTGGAAAGAAAATTCCAGCACAAGGGGCGAAGGGGGTTCTTCACAGTAAGATCAGTTAGGGTCTGGAACTCACTGCCACAGGCGGTGATTTCAGCAAATAATGTGGAATTGTTCAAGAAACTTTTGGACGATTTCTTAAGGGACCGTAATATACAGGAGTACGGGTACTCCTAGAATGAGATCCTAATAGGTTGGACTTGATGGACTAATGTCTTTATTCAACCTCAAATACTATGTAACTATGAATATGTAGTGATAAAGTAGAAATATGTACGGATTATTAAGGGGTATCACTTACTATTTCTCTTACATTATATGAGTTACAGTAAGATGTTGCCAATCATTATAATGTGTCTGACACCAGTGTTAGATGTATGTTTGTGGCACTCGTACCCTCAGTGAAAGTAAAAATCATTGGTCATATATTCCCAGCTTATCCTACCTTGCCATCCTTTGCTGGGACTTCTAGCACCATCATATCTGGAGATCTTCTGTATTTGTTCTTTCAGACTATTAAAGATTTCTACCTGCTTGGAAGAGGGGAATTATTCCAGGCATTCATAGACATAGCCCAGCACATGCTGAAAACACCACCAACTGCAGTAACAGAACATGGTGAGTGCAAGAAATGATGGCGTTATATCAGCAAAGAGACTGCGTGTTTGATTCGCATGTTTGCAGGTGATTTCACAACCAGCCTCTTTTTTTTCCCCCCTTCAGATATAAATGTGGCATTCCAGTTGTCAGCACATAAAGTGTTACTAGATGATGACAACCTTCTGCCTCTGCTACATTTAACCATTGATTATCATGGAAAAGAACATAAAGGTATGTGGTCCTATACTCTAATATGCTGCATGTAAGATTTGGGGACTCCTTTTAGCCGGGGAATGCTATAAAATACCTATTTCTCTCAGTAAAAATGCTGCTTCCTGCCCTCACGCTGCAGTGGTCTGTGCTGGCATAGCTGAGCAACAGCCACACCTCCTTTCATCAGTGTTCTAACAGTGACTTGTTTTGCAGAAAAGGGGAGATCTCATCAGATCTGTATATTATTGAGAGCACTGGGTCTTTTCTGGTGCCTATTGGACTGTTCTGTTTAGAAACCTAAGTGCTGTAAGGGGTAAGTGGAAAGAAAATATGGAGGTTGTTGGCACAGTGTCTGACTGCACATCTATTTCTGTGGCTTTAAGGGCTTGTTCACACCATGTGTGTTGAGCTGCTTTTTTTTGCATACCACTGCGCATGTATGGGGTGAACAGGACACATAGAAAAGCAATTGTTTCTTATGTGCGTTGTTCACACCAAACATGTGTAGTAGTGTTCAGAAAAACTCTCAGCCACTGCTGCTTTCAGAAGGATTGATTTCCTTTGTCATCCCGGATGGACCCCCAGAATAGTGCCTCAGCATCCCACCCCACCATCTCTAGGTGATGTAGACAGACCATCATATAGGCTGATGGTCTCAAGGATCAGGTTCCACCCTTTCCTATCAAGGTGCACTCTACTACAGTAGATCTGGAAATTATTTTTGGCTTTTAACATCAAGCATTTGTTTCTAAGATTTGTCAAGGTTTCCAGCTGGTCTTCTGTTCACACTTTTTCTAATTCTAATGCTGGGCACACACCTTACAACCATCGCAAGACTTTTTACTTGCGATGGTTGTAAGGTACTTAAAAAAGAAACGTACGATCTGCCCATCTTGGACAGGAAGATCGTACTTGCGATGATCGCAAGCCACGCCCCCCTGAGGGGTGGGCTTCCGATGACCGCAATGCCAAACGGGCAGTGTGCGCTTGCGCACACCGGCCCGTCCGGCTTTTATCTTACGAACATGCTACACACCCGCCGAACATCGTACGGTGCTCGGCGGGTTTTCGAACATGTTCGTAAGTTAAGTCGTGCGACCTTACAGTAGTAGAGGTCGCACGGCTTCCACACACCTTACGATAATCGTACGATCGCGGGATTTCCAGCGATTATCGTGAGGTGTGTGGGCACCCTAACAGGTGGACGTTTCTGCATCACCTGATACCAGTTTCAGGCATAAAGTCCAGCAGGTGGCTCTTTGAGCTACAGGCCTTCCCTACTTGTCTGCTGTCATTTGGGCCTGTTAGCCATTGTTTGGTGTTTTGTGCACCCCTCAGTTGGACTGCTTTTGGATGTCCCAAAGGTTTAAGTGTTTCTGTGTACATAAATAGAAGAAAAAGAAAACAGAATTTTTGTGTCCACCATAAAATCCATTTCTTGGAGACACAGGTCTCTTCCCTCTGTGTTTATGATCATGTTCTCAGTACCGCTGTGCTACAACATTGAGGAATGCTGGTAGTATGAAGGGTAACCCTAGCTGGGATAGAGTTTTTTTGTTTGTCGGTGTCCAATCATCCCATAGACGGCAGTGTAGGCCAAAGGTCAAAGTCTTCATCTCAAAAGATTCCAAGAAATGGATTTCACAGGGAGTATACAAATCCGATATTTTTGCATTTAGTTATATTTTAAGTGATTATTTTCTAATTCCATGCATACCAACATGACTTGTATCTGTCTGTAGATTTGACTCAGCCTCGTGATGCTCCATCACGTGACACGTCTCCAAGGGAAGCCCCCACCTCAGGCTGGGCGGCACTTGGACTGACCTATAAGGTGCAGTGGCCTCTTCACATTCTCTTCACACCGGCTGTATTAGAAAAGTGAGTCTTTCTACATCATGTGATCTTTTGGCATGATCATCTAGCAGTTTATAATCGTCTGAATTCTGTAATCTAACAGTACATGTGAGCTGACCTGTTGCTATAAAGAGCAGCTACTATAGAAACCACTCGCATTTCATTAGTAATTAGAACAATGAAAGATGACTTGTACTTTTTATGTAGAGCTTTAAAAGGAGATACTCCCTAAGAGATCATTACTACTGAAGGATGCCAACACTGCAACTTTCCTCATTACAACACAGGAAGCCCACCAACTGATTGTATTGAACCCGACCCTCCTATTCAGGGATCAGTTTGCAAAGTACCTGCTGGAAGAAACGGCCATTTCTTAAGAACGGAAACGTGTAGGAATTTACAACAAAGTTTGTTACAATCCTTGCAATGCACACAAATCAACCAGAAGGGATTTGTTTTGGGGTTTTTCTTTTTCTTAACAAAAGTGGAGTTACTCTTTAAATTTTAAATTAATTATTTCATCTTTTATATATAGTACTCTTTTCTTGCATCATCTTTGAAAGGTTCAGGAGTCAAAGCATTGGCTTACATTATGACATTACAATTTTTTTTCTGGAAACAGCAAAGCTCATATACAGGATTGGTTAAAGATTTTCTATGTATTTTAGGCCTACTGTATTTGTGATAAAATAAAACACAGTTGTTTAGTAAATCTGGCCATACATGTGTGGATTCTGCATGTACTGCAAAATCAATCCTCCCCCCTCTATGACCATTCTTAGAGAGATCTGTTGTATGATATACCGTGTTTCCCCGAAAATAAGACACTGTCTTATATTTCTTTTGGCTCACAAAAACACACTAGGTCTTATTTTCGGGGTAGGTCTTTTTTTTTTTTTTTATGTTTTAACAATCCAAAGTTATTGCAAATCCAAATTAAATTATCTAAAATGGCAAAGTTAAGAATAGGGTGATCAGGGGTGCCATACCTTTTCAAGAGCAATTTGGTAACCAGAATGAGCGAAGCGCGCTTTCACTAGCGATTCCTCACAGGCGGAGTGCATTCGGTATGACTTCGCCTGTGACAGGAGCCGGCGCTATAGAGGAGGCTTCAGCTAATGCAGCTCTGCTCCCTCCGGAGCCGCCTCGCTTCCTCTAGCGCTGGCACCGCTGATTCTCTCCCGCATCTCTTCAAGTTCTCCCCTTATACCACCACCGCCCCTGGGAATGGTCACAACTAGGTCTTGTATTTTAGCAATTCCCAAAAATGGTACTAGGTCTTATTTTCAGGGTAGGTTTTATTTTCGGGGAACCAGGGTATATGATGTATCTTTATAGAGAAATATTTAGGAGCAACAAAGGTCCATTAGGTAGAAGAAAGAGATTGGATACCTGGAGTTGCACATTAATGCATTGGGCTATAAGTGAGGAGCTACATAAAAAAAACATCAATATAGTGAGCACACAACTCAGAGCCCAAGAGGCAAACGGCAATACCAAAAAGTAGGAACATCGTTCATGATCACTTATGTGTTTATTGTTCCTGGGGTTGTACAGCCAGCATGTTTAGGGCGATTGCTGTGTCCTCTACATCAGAGCTGTTTTATAAAAGCGGTGTTCCTGAGGCAAGTTAAAGTGATTCAGAAGGTGCTAGTAAGATGTTTACATAAAGGATTTGGACTATGGAGAACATTCATCTGTTAGCAGCAGTAAGAGGAAAATGGTGTGTAATTGAGCAGCCGCAATGTTCTTATTTACCTTATAAGAAATCCTAGAATTAGGGCAGCTCAGTAAAGTGTCAGAAGGCTACATTTCTGTAAGAGTTCCCCAGCTGTAAAACTGAATAGTAAATGCAATATCCTGAAGTTCCCAAACTTTGCAGAGAATTGAAAATCAATCCATGTGATTTATGAACTACGTGTTGTTATTCCTGTGTAGGTACAACGTCGTTTTCAAATACTTGCTGAGCGTCCGCCGAGTCCAGTCAGAACTGCAGCACTGCTGGGCTCTTCAGATGCAGAGAAAACATTTGGAATCAAATAAAACGGATGCCATCAAGTGGCGGCTGAGGAATCACATGGCCTTTCTGGTTGACAATCTTCAGTACTACCTACAGGTGGTGAATACAGTATGCGTGGTTTAAATGTATGTTGTTAAAGACTATGACAGTGAGCGGTGTGACAGAAATAATACTTTATTATATATACACATTTTAGGACTCGCGCTCATCAGCTGTATTAGTTGGTAATTGAATTTGTAACCGAGTATAGGATTAATTCTATTGCTCGTAGACACAACCTCATTGTACCATTTCCAGAGCATAATTGTAAAATAACATAGGAACTTTGTTGGGAGGGGGTATTCATGACTCGGTAGGGGGGGTATGTGGGTAGAAGTTTGTGTATATTCAATACATTTTTATTGGATAATCTGGCAACTTAATGTAACCCATTTCTTAGGATGGGTTCACATCTTGTGCATTCTTATGTATGTTTTTGCATATTGCTGTATGTTTTTATGGGGGTTTATTTGCATTTTCATGTGTTCTGCGCTACTTTTGTTGGGGTCTGTTAGACAATAAACTGTTGAGCAAAGTTAAGATTGCTATGGAATGGGATGATTACTATGTGCAGGGAATACGTTAAAAATGCCTTACATTAATTTTCATGCACTGCCATTGCCATCAATGGAACCTGCAGCATGCATCAACACTCTAAAAAATGGACCAGATCTTTTTTGGCCAACGCACATCAACTCAGCACACAGATGTGAACTTTCACCTTTAGAAACATTGGCAAAGCTGGGCGCATGCATTTACGCACATTCTAACTCGCCTAAAAATTGCAAAGGTGTGAACTGCTTGGATGCCATTTTTTACTACCTACAATACATAAAATGTCAGAATACATTTGTATTGGGTTGGTGTGCTGCTTTCTGAGCAACAATGAGCCATATCCCCTCCTCACTTTTCTGGGCACCTTCTTTGAAGTCTATGGCATGAAGCTGCAAGTGCACAGTAACGTGATTCCCAAGCAGGCAGTGGCACACAACGTAGGTGGCAGATCCAAAATCTGGTGATCACCCTGTTCTAAAATATAAGCTTATAGAACAGATGGAGGAGGATATTTGGGCCCCCGGTACATAAAAGTGCACTTCACCTTTGGGGGGAGAGAAAGGTTGCCAAACATAACAAGAAATGTCCTTTTCCTTTAGGTAGATGTACTAGAATCGCAGTTCTCTCAGCTGTTACAGCAGATAAACTCCACACGGGACTTTGAGAGTATTCGCCTGGCCCATGACCACTTTCTCAGCAACCTCCTGGCCCAATCCTTTATTTTATTAAAGCCAGTAAGTGCAAAATGTCAGTATGCTGGTAGAGTTATTCTGTATATTTATTATTTAGTGTATTCCAAGTAACCACATATTTCTGCAGGTTTTCCATTGCCTGAATGAAATCTTAGAATTGTGTCACAGCTTCTGCTCTCTGGTCAGCCAGAACCTGGGTCCCCTAGATGAGCGTGGAGCAGGCCAGTTGGATGTCCTTGTAAAAGTAAGTTAAATACAATTTCCTAGTGAATTGGTGACAATGCTCTGTGTGACATCACTTTATACATTGTCTTGCAGGGATTTAGTTGCCAGTCTGCGCTACTCTTCAAAATACTCTCCAGTGTCCGCAACCATCAGATTAATCCCGACCTAGCTCAGCTGCTTCTGCGACTAGATTATAATAAATACTATACACAGGCAGGAGGCACATTGGGAAGGTAAGACCAGATGAGCTTAAAATCAATTCACATTACTTGATTCTTGTGACGATTTCTACTGCCGAAAAATTGTCATTTTCCGTGTACCTGTAAATGGAATGCTTGTGGAAATGCAGCGCATGCTCTGCAAAATGCTACATTTGGCCTGCTTTGCTTACAGTTCAAACGCACCTCCAATAGGACATGCTGTGTCCAAAGAAGCGGGTCAGACACCTCATGCATACCGCCCTTTTAAATGAGTTCTAAACGTTGGAAGACAACGTAGTTGACATATAGTAAGCCCTCAGTGTCGGCTCAAGACAACAGTGCCCAATGGCAATAGGAGCGTGTAGACTGTAGATGGGATAGGTGAAGACACCACCAGGATCTCACTATTCATGTCCCATTTTCTCAGATGGAGATGGAAAGGAATCGGAAGAAACAAATGTGGAAAACATGCCAATAGTCATTGATTTAGATTCCATTTCATTTTCACTGAGAAGAAAAGATTAAACCTGATGGATTCCTAGGGCCACGTTCTCCCCTTTTTGTGGAGGATTAATTGTTTTTAAAAAAAGAACCTTAAAGTAATATTAAACACTCAAACCTTTTTTTTTTTTCAAAAGTGAATCCAGATCAAACAAATAAACATTGCCCAGCAAAGCATTGCTTTACAGTTACAATCATCATGTTTCTGAACAGCTGCTACCACATCTCTAAGCTCCGCTTCCCTGAACATCCTGTCCAGTACAAGATCACAAAGGACAGTGCAGACTCCAGCAACTGTTCATCTACTAGCTTGGAGAAAAAAGGGAGGAGAAGGGGGCCAGGGGGAGGGAAGTAGCGTGATTTGCTGTGTTTGTGGAGACACATGCAGCTTACTAGCACACACAAGGGTGACTGCATAGCATTCTGCTTGAGGAAAGAGCCACCCTAAAACAGGATTAATCAGGACCAGTGCTCAGTGACCAGCTGATTCTGCAGGAAGCTAAAATGTTTAAACATCAAGAAGCAGCATCCATTGTAAGTGATTTCAGCAGCATTTGAAATAACTTAACATCCTTTTAACTTTAATATCACTTTAAAGTAGTACTGGTGCCGACCCGTGTGGGTGAGGGAACATTCGAGAGAAAGAAATGAAAATTGGGATTTGTAGCTTTATTTTAGAATCCGGCGACTGACTCCAGTAGAATTGTGTCATCCCTGTCATGAGGATAATTTCAATGTATTCCACCATGTTAGTAGTGCTAGTTGGTCTGTTTAGTACGGATTTGGTTGTAAAGGAGGAATACAATGTATGATGTGTGCAAGAGATATATTCTATGCTATACCATAGTCCTCTGTACCTGAACCCTCTTTTCCTAAGTCTTCTCTAAGCGTATGGATGGAGTATGGAAGCCCTGGCTTCAGATAAAATGGTCAGACTACCCGACCAGTGTTTACATCCCCGGCATTGTAACAGCACCCTTTAAATTCCACTTTGGATTGTTGCCTCATGCACAAGCGGGAAAAGTGCCAATTCTAGATACAAAGTACGGATCTGTAGTTTAAACAGAAGCTTCATCTGCTAGCTTTCTAACCAAATGTAATAAGATATCAAAGTGCTGAAATCCCAGTATAAACCCAAGAGGAATAAGTATCTCCGAACTGCTATAAGCTGTATCTATTTTTCAATAATAGGATTAGAAACGTGTGCCATCGGCTTCGAGAGCCAGAAATGTTATTTTGCTCTATCTTCCTGCTCAGCAGCGAACCAGAAGCTACTTTTGGTATATCTGGCTCCTTCTCGGAGATATGCCCTGGATCAAGTCACCGCAGGGCACCCTGCCAATGAAACCTCTAGCATTCATAGTGTATGGCTGTTTGTGAAGTTTGCATGCTGTAGTGGAACAGTTCTATTGTTTGATTTCAATCATATCAATATCCAGCAGTATCTTGAGGACCTTTGTTTTATTTCAAATCTATTTTCTTTTATTTTCCCTTCTTTAACCCCTTCATGACTGAGCTTGTTTTCAGTTTGTTTGTTAATGACTGACACACTTTTGAAATTTTTGCTGTGTGATTCTTCCACGTCAGTAATATACTTTCTTACTAAGCGGCCCCACACCTAATATATTGTTTTTTAGAGGACAGATAGGGCTATAGATTTATATCACATATGTGTACCTAATGCCTCACATAGGACAAATAACATAATAAAATTGAGGAAAAAACGTAAAGAAAATGATTTTTCCCCAGTTTTGTGTAGTATTTTCTAGAAAAATCACACAGCTAAAAAAGTACAATAAATACATTCATTTATTTGTAAAAAAAAAAAAAAAAAAACTCACATTCCCGGGATTTTAGAAATTGTTCTGTACTTCTCAACCTAAAACTAAAACCTAACATTTAAATTTTTTCTCTAAAAGCGGTCACCTGGCATACAATGTCACCGTCACTAAGTGTCACACTTAGTGACAGCGACATACTTTGAACATCACTGTCATCATTGGTTTTTTTTACACTTTTCACTGTTTTTAAAAAAAAAAAATTTCTACATTTTTATTTAATTTAATTATATCAAGCCGTCATTGTGAATTAATCTCACTATTACTGCTTGAAAATGTAAGTAATGTATTTTTGGTTATTATTAGGCTGCTTCAAACTTTAAGAACAGCTAATAATAACCTTAGTAACACTGATCCTGCAGCATTTCAGGATCAGGTGTCACTGAGGGCTTGTTCACACCAAATGCAGACCAGATCTGCATGAGTTTCTGCACACGCAGTGCAGTGTGTTATGCTGCGATTTTTGATGCGTTCCAGGCCAGTTTTGGCCATTTTTTGTTTAAAATGGGCTTTCAGTGCGTTCCAGGGCGTTTGCATGCGTTCCAGAGCAGGTAAAATAGGGCTTGCTGCAGTTTTTTTTACATGCTCTATAACTGAACTCTGCGGTGTGAAGTAGAGCCCAATATACCATTGGAATAAATTGGGCACAGTTTTGATCCGGTCTGTAACTGCTCTGCTCCTGGAATGTGCTTGGTGTGAACAAGGCCTAAAGGTTTTCTGATTGTTCCCACAATGATCGGAAACCTGCGACATTCTTTCAGCAATAGAAACATGCAGCTAAATGTTTCTATTGCTGAAACGTGAGGAAAAAAAGCTGGTATACATCGGGATTTCCCGATCTATACTAGCTGTCAGAGTGACTGGCAAGAGCTGTAAATGCGACTCTGCTCTCACTGTCAGACACCTGATTGCTGAAAGGGATCGGGTGTCTGAAAAAGCTTAACTCTTTCATAAAAGGATGCTCAATACTGAGGTATTCATTAATGAACAGTAACCGCTGATTCTCAATGGTTACCAGTCTTACAGAGCCCCAAATACAGTGTACCTGAGCAGTCATTTGGGCACTTTGTGGCGGGAAGTACAGTAAGCCTGAATTTACACTTACACGCTTGCATTGCACAGTGCTTTTTGGTGACGTGCATGGTGAAGCCCATTGAATTATGAAAAAGGAACATTCATTTTTTTTTTTGGCAATGAATGCCAACTGCATTAGTAATTTCTACTAATAGTTCTTTAATAATTTTGTAGGTAAATTATGGATACTGTTATAGGGGGGAATCGCTATATAGTTTTTGTATGTGGTCATGCTGGGATTTTGGAGTTTTGGAACTCTCATTATACGTGTTTGTCTATTGTTTCTGTAGGTAGGTTCTAGTATGAACAACAGCTCGGCAGTGTCTCCTTATGGGGTATTTGTTTTTTTTTTTCTGTGCAGTGTATATACAGTAGCTTTGAGGCCAGT